ATAAATGTAATAATAATTATTCATTCTATTTATTTATTCGATATAATATATAATATTTATACTTATATTTATTATACTTATTAGAAATCTAGAAAAATATTTTAATTTAAAAAATATGAAATATATACTTACAATAAATATTGGATTAATAGCAAATATTGATATACATATATAATTAAAAATCATCCTGCATATATTTGTAAATAAAATATTTCTGAAAAACCCCTCTGAACACTCGAACATTGAAGCGGACAATGTCCGTTTTAAAATTAGTAAATTTCGCATAACGGTGCTGCCAATAATTATGATAATTAACATGTAGCGTGATATTCTTTCGTAAGTCATATTATATAATTATAAATAATACGTAAGAGAAGATTGTAATCATTTATTTTTTAATAGCGGCAAGTGATTTTTCGTAAATTTTCTCAACTAGTTTTATAACTATGGACTTGCACACTTTATGGGATATAATGTTAAATTATTCAATAAAAATTATTGTTTAATCAGATAATGTAATTCAGACCTTTGTAAGTAATATATTACAACGTTGCATTGAGTTCTCATTTTCTCTTTGTTATGTGATGTATAAAATTTACATATTAAAAATATGTATGATTCTTATAAAATCTATTAAGAATGTAACAGAACGTAGTATTTGAAACTGAAATGGGAAAAAAATTCATCATCTAGAGATCTTAATTCTGCAACATAAATCATTATGCTTCCTTAATAAGGAATGTTCTTATTAAAGATCGAAACTAGATTTGCGACCAGCGGCAGCTTATAAAACATATAGAACACTTTGTGTGAGATCTATTTTATGGTGGACACGAATTGGAAGACATATTATCTGCGTAGCGCGCGCGTTACGAAAAATACATATATTATTACTCTGTTATACGACCTGCGTAAGGAATAGGCGGTTAACTTCTTTTTATTCCCCGATTCAATTCTTCGCAAAAGTACGACCGAATATAAAATTGGAATAGAAGTTACGGTATTAAAACATTGAGTATTTTAAACGTGGAATCGTGGTATCGTTTTGTGTGACTAGTAGTAGCGGTAACGGTAGGCGCGGCCGTAATTGTACACCGATTTACTCTCGATCGGGTTACAGGTGTACAGGGCGTCGCCTCTGGTGCCCTGCGGGCACGTACAGACCGCGATATGACGTCGGGGCGTGCACTCGGCGCTCGGGCCGCATTCGTGGCCGGTACACGGGTTCTTGCACGTGAAATCGATACATGCCCGATTGTCAAGGCATTCACTGTCGGTGAAGCACTCCCCGCGCTGACAGCTCGTTAAGGCGTTGCCAATGTAGCCGGTGGGACACGTGCATACCGGCCTCTCCTTCCCGGTATTGTCGTGACCCGGCGTACAAATCGCATTAATACCGCAGGGATTTGGCTCGCAGAGATCGCCTGGAAAATGGAGATACATTGATTTTGAGACAATTATTTTCTCTTCTTCTTCCTCGTTTTCTTGACGTCAGTGATAAAGAATTGATGGTAGAAGAACTGATATGGTAGAGAAGAATACGATTCTAGTTAATTATAATAACAATGATTATAAGCCCGTATCAGAATAGATATTAAGACCGAATTAGATTAATCAAAAATTTATTAAACTTGATATTGTTTTGTATTTGATTTTCTTTTTTCTGATTAATTAAATTCAATCTCAATTTTAATCTCTAATTTGATACGGATATTGCCTTTATTGAACTTTAATACTGGAAGGTAATGATTAATTATATTTTAAGTGCACAATGCTTTTAATATTCAAAATAAATAATTAATTATTACCTTTCAGTATTGAATTGGATTTTGTAAGGATTACTTACGTGGTTCAAACAGTCTACAGCTGACGAAAGGATTACCGGTCATATGTTTTGGGCAACTGCAAACGGGAGTGATACCGCGTAGGTTGCAGTCGGCATGAACGCCGCACACGCCATCGCAAGGATTCACGCATTTCTGATAGAGGCAAGCGGGTTTATTCGATGGGCATTCAGAGTGGGTGGTGCACTCCGGTCGGCATGCGACAAATGGGTTTCCCGTCCATGTCTGGAACAACAAGAAGCGGATCGATCCCACACGTCCATTCCGTTTCATTTGATTTCATTCGTCATCGAGGATGCTTAGTCAGACTTATAGTCTTTGATAGAAATACTGCAATTCTCTATGAATAAAGCGGAGGCGTCTTACTTTCGGGCAGGTGCACTTCGCTTGATGATTGATGACTTGGCACTCCGCGTTCTCTCCGCACTTGCATGGGTTCTCACATTTGTATGATGACGAGCACGCGAGATGATGAGGACAATCGATGTCGCTCTCACACTCGTGACGACATCCAGTTAAGGGTGAACCTCTGTAACCCGGTAGACACGTGCAGACTGGCACTTCATTGATTACCTCGCATTGGGTATTCACTCCGCATGGACTCGGTTTACAAGCGGCTTCTATATTACAGTGAATATCTTTGATTTTTGAATAACTTATAACGTTCTCAAAAAAAAATAGAAAAAAGTGCACTCTCTTATGAGTTATTATCTTTATTAAATGTTATTGTGAATTACTATTTATTACAGTCAAATTCTGTTTATCCGAACAGGGGAAAACAACAAGACAGAAACCGAATGGATAATAGAGGCTCATTAGTTTCTATCAATCTTATAAGTATTTATCAATATTACAGCTTATAATATAATAAGAGAGTTAATAGTTGGAACTAGACACGAATTTATTTGTACGAATGAAGTGCAGACAAACGGATTATTAATATTAAATTTAATTATTATTATATTTATATTAAATTAAATTCTTTAAATCGAAGGAAGAGAGAAAGAAAAGAATAGAAACGAATATTTTTAAAAGACATAAAATTTAAAAAATAGAACACACACATTAGAAAAATCTTAAAATATTTTTGTATAATGTTTTTTTATAGATATTCATATTTTAAATTAAAGAAAAATTTTAAATTAAAGTTCTACATACGAGGATCGGCGATTTGACAACTCGAGAACGGATCTCCGACGTATCCTGATATACATTCGCAGGTACCTATATGATTTCTGGTCAAACAGTTCGCGTTTATTCCACATAGACCTACGCAAGGGTCGACACACCTGTTGTTCGTACACACTTTGTTGTATGGACAATCGTCGTTGACTGAAACGTGATGAGGATGTTAAATAACATGCCGATTGATACACCTTTCAAATGGCAACACCAGAAAATATATGAGAAAATATTTAAGGCAGATATTATTTATGAATATATGAAATTTAAAGGGTAGTAATATTTTTATGATAACATAAAAAAAATGAATATCAATAGCAATAACCAACAATAACAATCTAATTGAAAATAAATTTATTAATTCAATGATAGTATTAATGAAACAAATAACACTTTATTAAAATAAGAGATATGTGATTTGTTTCATTGTTTTACTAACATTCATCTTGTGTCAAATTAACACAAATATTTAGTAGATACATTTTTAATGAAATGTATTAAATTTAACACAAATTTTTCTACTGCGTGTCAATAAATTAACAAGATCATTTAGCAATTAGATTATCAATTAATACCGTTAATACATTTATTTTCCGTATAGTTAAGTATATAGTTCATTTTCATATTCTATCATGATCTACTCATCCTACAAATCAATATGATTTTTTCCGTTTTTTCCATTTTGTTTGTTGCATTTTTTTTGGTTGGCTAACGGTGTATAAACTTGAGTTTATACGCGGTATAATTACTACGACTTAACTAACAAGAGTTTACTTTTCCAGGGATTATATAATGCTCGCGGTTCGCACGTTGATCGCATTTGTACTCACTTAGACATTCGACTCGCACGCACTGTGCGAGCGGGTCTCCCATATGAAGATTCAAACACGAGCACACTGGCCGTCCCAAGCTCATCGTGCATCTCGCGTTGACGCCGCACGTGTAGCTGTCGCAACTGCCTACGAGATGAAGAGTCGGGTGATTCAGCAGAGACGCTTCGGTTTTGCATAACTACTTAAAGATTACTGAAGAATTAAGCAGAACTTACCGGACGTACTTGTTCGCGACTGAACATATTGGACATAGTGACTGCCGTTCACCAACGTGATGAAGAGGAACAGAAGCAAGGTTGCGGCTTGCGTGTACATTTTGCCACTGTTCCAAATTTATCTGCCGAAATTCCACTTGAAATGAATTTGTGGAAAGAGAATGCTATTCTCGCGATGATTCTTCTCTGATGTTGTAAATCAAGTTTTGCGCAATTCTTTCAATTAAAACAACACTTTTCTTTTCGATATAAATCATTATAAATAAAACAATTTGCTTTCTTGAAATTAAAGATGGGTAAAAAATTATTCCAACTAACTTGAATTAAAAAAGGCGACTCGCGTGATGAAGATTTTTGCTTGAATCCTCAAGGCGAGAAGAAAACACTATTCTTTTGCTATGATTATTCTTCAATGCAAACCAAGTTCTGCGCAAATTCAACTTAAAAGATTTTCCTTTTTTATTTAAGTTGAACAAAATGACTCGCTTTCTTGTAAATATAGATGATATAATCGTCCCAATTACTTAAATTACAAGACGATTCGCATAATGATAAGCGTTAATGCGGGAAGAAAACATTATTCTTATGATTTCTTTTGATGATGCAAATCTAGCAAATTCAAGTTAAAACGAGACCTATCTTTTCAATTTAACGAAATGATTCGCTTTCATGCAACGAAAGATGGATAAATCCAATTTAATACTGGAATGTAGTAATTAATTATTTTGAGCATTACAGTGTGTATAACTGTTTTTAATACTTAGAATAAGTAATTAATCGTTATCTTGTAGAATTAAATTTTTTTGTAAGAGAAGATCATCCCAATAACTTAAATTAGAAAAAGCTCCGAAGAACGAGTAGTGAATATTTTTGCTTAAATTCTCAGTGTTTATTTCCATCAATATGAATTAACTTTAATCTTGGTTTAATTTTATCTTTTTCTAGAAATAGAAAAAGATTTATCTTTTTGTTTTATACGCGTTTCTATCAATGTGGATTAACTTTAATCTTAACTCACTTGCTCTTCATTTATTTTAATTTTTAGAACTAGAAAAGGATGAGTTAGTTGAACAAAGATAAAATTAAACTATATTGAAACTATATAGAAACTATATAGAAACGAGCATTAGACATAGAAAAAAAAAGAGCAAATAAAGTTAATTTACATTAGTAGAAATGGATTATTTATGTCCACATTATAATACAAAAAAATAATGAGCAACAGACAATAAACATGACAAACAACGTAAATAACACTGAATAATAGATAATATGATCAATAAATAATGCATGAAGTTTTTATCCGAATAGACACTTAAAAAAGTTTATCCCAGTTTATCTGAATAATGCCCACCTTTGCTTGCAACTTGATGCTCGATCGGCGCGAGGAAGACTAACCGATCAGTGATCACCTGCGACCGCGTAAATGACGCGAGGACGATCCCAGGCCCCACTATCTGCGACCTTCAGAGTCCCCCTTTCGAATTTCGCCCACACACGGCCCTGATTATTCTTCAAGGTATTCGATAAATTTCGCCTACGTATTTTATATCCGTTGTTTTTTTCGCTTCCTTTTTTTTCGTAATTGATGAGCATTACGTGCGAACGCGATGATTTTCCCATAGCCTGAGCTGCGGCGCAGCGCGATTGGAACACGCACACAATTATCCGTCCATCCCGACCTAGAATTGCCCGGCTATAATGATATTCCATATTCGCGTGCATAGTACAATGCGTCGGTCAAAACAGGTATGAGTAATCGCTGCAGCTTCGGTGCGCGGAGTTCCGTGATGAGGGAACCCTTTCGCGCCAAAAATGGATCTTCGCGAACGCACACGTTCTGATACGCTTAATCCCGCTGCTGCAGCGTAGTCGAAGTAAATCCGATATCGGCTTGTCGTTCAACTGTGGATCACCGTTTTTATATATCGCGTCATACACTCTCTCTCCCCCCATGCTTCTTCATATCCGCGTTATATGCTAATCTAGAACAAAAATGTCGACAAAATAAAAAAAAAGGTAGAAATGCAAATTGTGTCGCGTAAATAAAATGGTAATCTCCAGTACCACATTGCCCGAATGGTCACACATTCCCGTTTTGTTATCGTTTCTGTGAATAAAACGCATAATTCGATGTTGCAATCAGCAATCTCGAGATGAGGAACGTAATAATTTAATATATATTTAAAGATCTTCATTCTTCAGAAAACTATTTGTGTGATATTTAACGTAAAATTCATCGATTCGGTAAATGCGAATTTATTTCAGAAATCGGTCTATAGAATCGCTTTCGCTAGTTGCAAATAAAAAATCAATTTTATTTACATATAAAACATATTATTTTAGAATATACTTATTTTAGAAACTATCTGTGTTAAGAAGATATGAAGAATTGGAATTGATAAATTGGCATTGTACGCTTTTTAAATATACTAGTTATATAAAACTCGTGTTATATATTTAGGAAACTTTTCGTACAAATACACATACGCTTAAAACTTTAAATAAATGCAAAATACACATATATTTGCCATATAGAACACGTATCTATGTACAGAGTTGATCAGAAACAGAAGATTTGAATAAAACTTCTTTAAATTTAGCTTTTAACTGTTTTTAATATTCTAGTTTTTATTGATTATTAAATAAAATTAAATAAAATTTTACATTTTAAAATATTTGCTAAAGATATGAAAGGAAAAGATACATATGCCCTGAAACACAAACTACGATTTTGAGAAGAACTTCCTTATGTTTTTTTTTTCAATTATTAGGTATGGGAAAAACTTCGTGGCGTTTTTCCCGTTAGATGTAACGGGAAAAACGCCACGAACTTTTTCCCATATCTAATATATAAGTTTCGCCCTTAACATTTTCTTTCGCGTCTAATGAAATGAATTTATTCAAGCATTCCATTTCAAAGTGAACCACTCTGCACGCTACATATACATCGATATTACTATTTATGTACATGGCGGATCTTTATGAATTTAATCGTGTGTTTGGCATTTCTTTTTCATCGATGCCAGTATCTTGTCCTACTTTTCGTGATACAGAGTATCATGTTAATGTCATGTAATCAAATCTTTATCTTTTTGAAAATCATAAATTTTCAAATAAGAGATATTCGTATTTTATAAATGAGATGCTTGAGCTAGAGTATAATTTTGCACTGAAAAAAGAGTTCGATAATAGTTACCAAATATTAAGTGAAATAATTTCAATCAGATATTTGGCTAACCAATATAACCAAATACCAATATAAAATAATTTTACTTTTTAAATATTTAATATTAACAAATAGTTGGTTATATTATGTCATATTATGTTTGGTAATACTTATTAAATGTGTAGGAAAACAAAATTATATTATATATACAGGTTTCTCTCTGCACATATATATATTTATATAATATATAGTTATATATATTATTACGTTGTTATATTAATTAAATTTGATTAAATTTCACTTAACATTTGACAATTATTACCAAGTTACTCGTTTTGTCAATGTATTTGTGTGAGATTATATTCATTGTTTGAATTTTATTTGCATTTTGCGTCTCTTAAGAACTCTTCGTAAGCAGTCGCAATTTCATCGTCATAATTATCATCAGGTTCTTCTTCAGATGTCCTGTAAATTACACAATAATATTAGTACATAAATTTCTTAAACAAATATTTTTATTGAATGGTACCTTTTAATTATCTCTCTTTTAGTATTTTAATAATATGAAAGAAATTAAAATATTACTTATTTACAACACAATTTAAGAAATAAAGTTTTTTAGAAAATGAATTTAATGTTTAATGTAATGAATTAAATTTTAAAATTAAAATTTTCTATTAATTTTGAAATGTAATTGTGATGAAATAATTGATTGCGTATGTATATAGAGAAAATAGAAAAAATTATAGAGAAATGTTGTTTTAAAGAATTTTTTATATCATTGTTGTAGCAAATGTATGATATGAAGTTCAACATACTCTTGATCGTCTAAATCAGCTTTTGCGTGCTGCTCAAGAAATTCGCTTTCCTCCGCAGACAAAATCGAACCGTCAGGACCGTACATCACTGGTTGGTTAAAATGTATTTTCTCCGGTACTTGATGCTGTATTTTCAACGATTCAGATGAATGATAATTAGACGCACCCAATTGATCAGATTGTCGCTGCACATCATTAAATAACACATGACTCGACCCAGATGAATCACAATTGGGCGCGCTTCTACCCCAATCCTTTCGTAATTCGTGAACACTGTTTACCATATTTCCTACATGCGTATCAACTTGCCCATTATTCACGAGTTCCGTTAGTGCCCGCATCATATTCTCCATGTCTTTACTCCTGCTTTTATCTTTCTCCAACACGTGACCCGCCAGCTACGCATTACATCAAATGCATACATTAGAATGTAGATAAAAATTGGATTATCGTCATTATTATTTGCGACTTACTTTGAGCGCTTGGCATATATATTTAACAGAACTTGACGCTGGTCTTTGCAGTACCCTAGTAATAAACAATACCAACAGTTCTCCTAAAGTGAAAGCGTAAGACTCATCCATCTGAGCGACCAACTCTGCTAAAAACAATATCAGTCCATTGCATTTCCGTTGATCCCGTTGCTCTTCGGGTTGATTAAGCCATTCAGATTCGAGTAATCTGGTCTCCAATTTACATCTAACATAAAAATATCATCAATGTATATAAATCGTATATTTCCAATTACATGAAATGCCCCTGAACTTACTGGAAACACAACAAATCCCTGAACAGCTCTTTGGAAAACATATACATCTCTTTGGAATCTTCTAAGCTGGTGTCAAAATATTTACATAACCGGGCTCCATTATATCGAAAATTACTTTCCGCTATAGACTGAAAATAATATAATGTCAGTAATGTAATGTGCGAATTATATAGTATTCTACATAATTTTTATCACATAAATACTGAACATTGTTTACGAATAAAATGCGTCTTGCGCAAAAATGTTATCCCGAATACGTATTCGGGGAAAAAAAAGGAATTTTTATACCCATTCGATTATGGTTGTAATAACCAACTGCAAGCAACGCATATTTCCACTCAACCTAAGCTTGTCCATAAATGGTGGAACTAGATTGGTGAACTCGGCGGGATTCATAATTAAAATGTTGATAATTTTATTGAGATGGTCATAAGTTTCTAAGTTATAAGCTTCTTCCTTTTCATTTTGTTGCTTCTCTTTCTAATTAAAATATTATTGATACATATAAACATTGCATATAAGCAATTTCTTAATGAAAAGAAATCAGGCTTTTATCTTGCTATTTTACTTACATCATCTTGATCATATCCATAATTATTATAATTTCCTACGTCTGTGTCTTGTATATTGCATTGCTGTTCCAAAATATCTCCTAGAGTACTATCATCCGCAAATGACGGAGGTACAGATACATTTGATGGTATTTCACGAGCTAATCTAATCCTGTCTTGTATGGAACTCTTTGGATATTGGAGAGTAAGTTGCTAACAGCAAATTATTCAGAATCAAAATAACAGAATGTTGATATGCTTTAAGATCCAAAATAAATAACTTACAGGAGGCAGATACACATTAGGCTCTGCTGGAGAAGACTGCACCAAAGGAGACTGCGACTTAAAAACCTGAGGTAGCATGGATTTTGGAATAAACTCTGCTGCCTGTGGCGATAGCGCAAATTTCTTCTCTTCCTGATTATGCTGTGTCGTCGCTGTAGATGACGAAGAGTCAGATTCTATGTACAAATAAGTAGTTTTATTTTAAACTTGATAGTCAACAAGCTCTTAATTTTGTTGCAATTAAAATAATGCTAACTTATACTGGATTGACTAGCAGATGATACACTGTATGGTCGCCTGAGTCCCCCGCATGAGTCCAATTGTGACCAAACACGATGTCCACGTCCTATACCTTGTTTCATAATTTCCTCATCCTTGCCAGTTTTCTTGTCTCCTTTAAAAGAGTCCATTTTCTGTGCAAACAAATTGTCAATCAAGAACAAGTAAAATTTAGATTCAGTTTTAAAACTCAACATCTTTTACAATCTCAATAATGTTCTTATCAAACATACTGTATTTTTTTATCACACACACATGTACACACATACACACACACATACACACACACACAATTTTAATATACATATATGTATATATTATATAAACACATATTTTTTATAAAAAAAAAGATACAGAAAAAATAAAAAAGTTTAATAAATTTGAATTTTGGATTCTGTATAGATACACTTTAAAGTTGTTGTACACAAGTATATATAATAATATTATGAATATAGACTTAATCATAATTTTCTGAGAAAAATAATCAAATATTAAATGATTAAGCACATTAAGTAATTTCCTAGGTAAAATAGAACAATATTGTTGGAATATTTCACTTATATATATTATTTAAATTGTTATAACAATATTTCTAAAAAATTGCTTTTTTTTGTGAATTTTCTACAAAATTGTATATTTAAAAGCTTCACGAAGAATAATTATTATTAAACAAGAAAAGGAATATATAAAATATATATTTTACACGAAACGATATTTTGTAATTCACATTTTCGCTGGAGTACAAAAATATCTCAGATGATTAGTCCCAAATTTTTCAGTGTTATGTTAAATTGGACTCGATATATTCTTCCTATAACTGAACTAATATACATTTTTGGAATTGAAGTGAAATAGACATTTAATATTCAACAAAAGCGAGAAGAACATTCAAATGCTATCTAGTTCAGGAATAAAAAAGACTTTATAGATTACTTTTATTAGAACCTTTATAAGTTCTTTTGATTTTAGGATTCTTTAATTCTTATTAGACTTGCTAATTAAAGACATTAAAGACAAAATATACTTGATTTTTGCTCATTTGTGAGAATTAATTTGGACTGCGAAGATATAA